ATCCAGTGTTATGCAAAACTTTTAAAAAATTGCAATATTCTAATTCGATGCGACAATACAACAGCCGTTTCTTACATTAACAGAATGGGGAGTGTTCGGTTTCCAGAGCTATGTTCTCTGGCTAAACAAATTTGGCAATGGTGTGAGGAAAGAAATCTCTGGCTTTTTGCATCATACATCCCATCTAAAGATAACGCTATAGCAGACGATGAGTCCAGGAGCTTGAATTTTGAAACGGAATGGTCATTATCTCAAACTGCCTTCGACCATTTAACCGACATCTTCGAAAAACCAGAGATCGATCTTTTTGCCTCTCATACCAATGCGAAATGCGAGGTATACGCTTCCTGGCATAGAGATCCAGGATCTACATATATCGATGCGTTTACAATTCGCTGGAACAGTTTTTATTTTTATGCATTCCCCCCTTTTACCTTAATTCTCCGAGTTTTACAAAAAATAATTCAGGATAAGGCTGTCGGAATTTTGGTGGTTCCTTGGTGGCCTTCACAACCTTGGTACCCACTTTTCCGTCAGTTATTGATCGACCAAGAAATTCATTTTCCCCCTTCACCTGATTTACTATCTTGTGCGGTTTCCAGGTCACATCCGCTGTCGAAAACCCTTACCCTGGTAGCAGCGAAGTTATCAGGCAAGCGTTTTTGAGTAGAGAGGTGCCGGAATCTGCTATTTCTACAATCATCGCCTCAGTCTCCAGATCCACATTGCAGCAATATAACAGCTCCTACAAATTGTGGTGGGAATTTTGCTTTAGTAATGACATTTCGATCTTTAAACCCACAATCAAAGACGTGGTGTCATTCTTGCAAGAGTTGACAAAGAAGAAAAACCTCACGTCTGGCACTTTTAATTCTCATACATCTGCTCTTTCACTAATTTGCTCAACTGATTTAGCATCCAATCCTATAATTAGACGCTTCAAAAAAGGCATTCATCGTTTACGGCCTTCTCGGCCAAAATATTCGGCCACCTGGGATCCTATACCTCTCCTAAGTTATCTAGAAAAGTTACCATCTCCACTTAGCCTCCAAAGTCTGTCACAAAAATTGACAACGTTATTAGCTCTAATAACAGGAGAAAGACTCCAGACAATTTCTCTTATTCGTCTTTCACATACCTCCCATGGTCCCAGCGAAACTACCATTAATATTTCAGACCCAATTAAAACCAGTCGAATTGGGAAACCTCAACCAACCTTGCATATACCGGTTTTTCAACAAAACCCTTTCCTGTGCGTAGCCACCATCCTGAAGGAATATATTGACAGAACAGCTAGCTTGAGAGAACCCGACAACGATTTTCTATTCGTGACATATAAAAAACCACATACCAGGGCGTCCAAAGACACTTTAAGCAGATGGGTAAAACAGACTCTTGCATCGGCGGGTGTCAACACAACACTTTTTACGCCTCATTCAGTCAGGCATGCGGCTACCTCAACGGCGTTAAGAAAAGGCGTTTCCGTAGATAGTATATGTAAAACAGTTGGTTGGACGCAACATTCCACATTTGCAAAGTTTTATAATCGTCCTTTACAAACCAACAATGAGTTTGCAAATGCCATTTTGGACATAAATGCCTGATTAGTTAGAACAGTTTAAGAGTTTGTGACGTACTTTAGGTACTCTAGTTGTTTTTTGAAAAAATATTACTATTAGGGTAAATGTTAAAAATTGACCCCTTGTTTTTTGCTTTTGTTTATGAGAATGCAGAATATATGTTTTTGCCTTTTTGTGTTTGTATACTTGTATTTTTTATATCATCAACTCGCTCGCAACTCTATCTCATCTTTAAACATCTACATAGTGAATAAACAAAGTGATGTCTTCGGACTGGACCCAAAGTATAATTGATCGATCAAACGAACTTACCTGAAGTGAAGTTCGATCGTAATTATACGAGGGTCCAGTCCGAAGACATCACCCCCACCCTATATGCAACCCTCCCAAGTTGCGAGCAAGTACCATTTCTTTAAACAAATGATTCAACGCGAGTGGCCAGGGCGCGGCGAGGAGGTGGGGATTCTCGTCTTTCAACTTGGTGCGCGGATCGTACTCCAGGGGCGGACTACATAGTGAATAAACAAAGTGATGTCTTCGGACTGGACCCTCGTATAATTACGATCGAACTTCACTTCAGGTAAGTTCGTTTGATCGATCAATTATCTGTCCTAAATGCATTTAGGGAAATAATAAACACAAACACCTAATGGACATAAACCGGAATGTGGTAAGCAGTTGGGGGACACGAAGATCAAAGGGACCGACGGCTGGGGTTGTGTATTATCTGTGCTTTGGGGGTTATGGTCGCTAGTTAGAGCATCCGCTACCGTATTGGAATATACAGGGTGTTACTTAAAAATTTGCCGTAATTAGAAAGGCGCCTTGCCGAACCAAATTTAAGTAGACAAGTTTTATAAACATGTTTCGTTTTCAAGACACTGGATGTGAAAATTAAAAAAAAAATGTTTTCTATTAATAACCTAAAGATCCTTGTGTAAATTATGTTGAATTTTCGAAGTACTGTTTACTGAAATAAAACGTAAACTTGGCACTAACTAGAGATAGATAGGTAGATGATAATGAGTTACAGTGGCGCTTCGGGCAGTAGAATCGCGAACGATATTGACAAAAGAATTTACGATGCTGACTTTGTTAAGAAATATATTTTTTCAAATCAATTTGTAATAAAGTAGGCGACAGAGAAAAATAACCGTATAAGTTTGAATTTTGAAGATATTGTCATCCTGTATAACTTCTTTGGACAACTTACAATTCAGAGTGACAAGCCGAACTCTGCTGGTATAGTTTGAAGCTTGCAAAATACAGTACTGTACATTAGCTAGCAAGTAGCGACCTAGCGCTCATCCGGTTTCGATAGATGGACGAGTTCTACCAAAGAGCCGAGGACTGGATCTGGCACGAACACATCTCGTCAATAGCAGCAGCTGCTGGGCAAAAGCTAGGCTATTTGTTTAGGGCTAAAAAGTACTCCATATCATCTCCTGACTCTGTACAAGGACTAGATAGGACTTGGCCTCGAGTACTGCTCACATTTTTGGGATGCTGCCGCCCCGACTACATTATCCATGCTCGATGCTGTTCAGATTAGGGCTGTCGAACTGATCGATGACTCTTCTCTCGACGATCTAACTTTCTTCTACCCCTACGTCAACGGACTTTGCTCCTCAGACCTTTCCGCCAGGCGATGTCTCTGCCAGACAGACTCGCCCGACTCCAACCCCCACACACATACAGAACTGACCGATACGACCGCTCCTTTCTCACTGGAGTATCGAGATTGTGGAACAATCTACAAAAGGAGGTTTTTCCCAGTTCTACTAAACTTAGGCAGTTCATAAATCGAATGAACGTTTCTTTAAGCTCCTCATAGCAGCCGCGGTGTCCTGGCATTTAGGATGCTGCCTGCGCGGCTGTTCAAGTCAAAACTTTTTAAACAGTCGCGTTGTAAAACAGGTTATTACTTTAGACTAGTTAGCTTGGTCTAACAGTGGTATGGTAAGACTGTCCAGTGCTCCATCGAACAAATTAGTCGGTCATAGCCAACACGATGGCCTGATCGGCTGTCAAAATAATAATAATAAACGTCTTTCTTGGCCAAACATCAACAAATAAACTTACATCTACATAAAAAAGAGAGTTTGGCGAATGGCGAAGTTCAGATGTCCGCCACTGATGTGAGACACATCTCGTCGCCAATAACACGGATCCCAGAGTATGTGAAGATTGAGTTAAGTCGATTTTATTACTCAAAAAATGATGTTCTTCAATATCACGAAGTGGCATAAGTCAGTTTCTAAAACTTTCAGATTATAGAAAAATGATATTTGACTTATTTCATTTTGAATAGGAAATTAAATTTCACGAGGGAGCTTAACTCAAGTTGCGCCAATTTTGTGAAATTATAAAATATGTATACATATCATTTATATTTTTGTTCAGTGTAAGGTTTATCTAAGTTACGCCAGTTCGTAAAATTGTAGTTTAAATTTTATCTCTATACGCACTGTGACGTATATGTCTTTTTGACTTCACCTTCATCACATCTTTTAAGATTAAAAAGGAAAAAAACGCTGTGTGAAGGAGATACACCGGTAGTTCGTTTACAAGAATATCAAGGATTCGATTTAAATCTTCCCCATGAGTAATAGATGAAATACTAATTATTATTTTGTTCATCTTATTATATCATTATTATTTAGGTGAGTCTTATGTTTGTGCTGCCATATTTAACTTGTCTCGCGAGTTACAGTTGTTTATTTTTAGATACTGCGGGTACTTATTTTGCCGTAATACTCACTGTTCCTCGTTTTGTAACCATAATCCAGATTTTTGCTACGTTTCTATATGCACCGATACATTTAACAACTGCTAATCGCGTTTAGGCGAAATCCTAGCGTATTGACAGTTTAATCCGAAAATTGACGGATTGAGGTTCTAACCTTATTTCGAGTTGTTGATGTCTTTGCGAAAAAGTGCTGTTTTGTAAAAGTAATGCAGATCAAAGATGAGATTTTCCTTGACGTTGATGGTGACATCCTAGATATTATTCGTTTCGGATTTCCAAGACACTATTATGAACGTACAGATTTTTTTAAGGAGATGGACGACCTGTCGTTTTTCAGGAGATTTCGGCTGAAAAAAACACTGTTCTCAGATAGGTAGAACAAATAAAGCATTAACTCGAGTTTGATAACAATTTGTAAGTATCTTTTACGAAATATTAACTTAAGATAATCAATTTCCTTGGCCAGAATTGAATTTTAGACAAGAACGTCTTTAAAAACCTTTTCCTCTGGCTGTGGATCTGAATCACATTAGGTATTTCCATGATTTCAGTCACTATAAAATTTTTGTTTTTCCAGTAATAATCGTGTGTTGCCCATTAATCAGCTCCTTACATGCCTACGATTTTATGCCTGCAATGCACATTAAAATTGTATTGGAAAATTTATTAGCATGCATTCAAGAGCAATAGCAGGTTTAACAAATCAATATATCGGAATGCCCAATGAAGAAGATGAAATAATAGGAGTTCAGAATGGCTTCTATAGGATCTGTAGATTTCCACGAGTTGTTGGATGCATTGACGGGACGCACATAAAGATGCAATCACCAGGAGCTCAAGATGGAGAACTTTTTCGTAATAGAAAGTCATATTTTTCTATAAATACTCAAATAGTTGCTGGACCAGATTTGAAAATATTTGATGTTGTTGCTCGATGGCCAGGATCTACCCATGATTTAACTAATTTCGATGCATCCCACCTAAGAACACGCATTGAAGGGAGACAATTTCAGAACGCGGTGCTCTTGGGAGATAGTGGTTATCAGCTGAAAGTCTACCTAATGACACCTCTACAAAATCCAGGCAATGTTGTCGAAAATCTTTATAATGAAGCTCATGTGCAATGTAGTAGAAACATTAGCTGGTGTTTGGAAACGTCGGTTCCCTGTATTAGCCTATGGTAGTCGGTGTCGATTAGATTACGCTTTAACTACAATTAATTGTTCTCAATGCTGTGCTAGCAAAATATCGTCGTGAATATGCCAGAGGATTTGCCTCCCTATCGAAAAGAACTCAATGGTCAAGAGCTGGATTACCTAATTTTACAAGGAGATATTCCTCATGAACATGCAGCGAATGTTGGTCAAGCCCCATTTAATTTTCGCCAAAATCTGATAGATAACTAACTTAGTTATTTATAAAACATCTGGATAATAAACACACCATTTGTGGAAAAACTACATACTTTTTAAAACTTTGCTGCAGTACCTTTATTGCATTGAAAAAAAAGTAACATAGTATCTTAACACAAAGTAATAATTCAATAATTCTCATTGTAAAGGCATTGGAAATTGAATTTAGTTTTTGATTGGAAATGTTTAACTGAAGCAAATCTATTTTAAGTTTTCTTTCCATTTCTATGAATTCTTGCTCTTCATCTGTAGCTTTTGTTTTTCCAATAACGTCAGTATTTTGTCTAAGAGTAGATTGTATTTAGAGGCAATATCAGAAGATGTTGAAGCAGTCACAACTTGCTTCGGTCTTGAGGCCCCCACTTCACAACAGGCATCGCTCAACCTCCAGCTAAAAATCTTTGGTTTTCCTCCTCACCTATTTCCCCTCTTAATTCTTTTTTGTTATATTCATACAACATTAACAATGACTCGGCTTTTCTGTATGAGGTAGAATGAGAAGAAGAGTTAAATTCTTTTCCAATTTGGGTCCAAGCATTGCTTTAGAGGCTCTGCCGGCCTTCTTGTCCTCTAATGTTTTCGCATCTTTTCAGTAGCAGTAAAATTCGGTTCTTATTTCTTCTAATTCCTTTCCATTTTGATAAGCCTCTTGAACATATAGAAACTGTCACATTTCACAAATTTTTGACATAATCTACAAATTTGCAATAGTGCCACGTTTTGTTCAACGATTAGGTAATTGCGATTAGAAAGTGGTCCGCGCATCATATTCTAATCTGCCGTTCCTGATCCGGTTTCCCCAATCTGGATTAAGGTGTCAAACGATCCATGCGGGCATTAACCCTGCAGACGCCAATTTCATTTCATCCCTCAACATCTATAGCCTGGTATTTTTACTCGCTGGACACAGTGGATATACCGCTATATCCTCTGGCTATGAATGCTTATAGTGAGCTGAAATGATGCCGACAGATGCAGAATTTTTCTCATCAGTGGAAAAAATAGTTTTCGATATCCTGTTCATGCAATCTCCGGTACGCCCTATCAAAAGCGAATAAGCCGTCTTTTAAAGCCACTTTGCTTGAAAGAAACGTATGACAATACAATGTATTGTTTCTGGGTTATGTGAACTTTTCAAATTAACAGCGTCGTAAATGCGCCTAATGAGCTAATCAGTCTGCTTGAAAGCTCAACTATTCAGCTAGGCTTAAGTCCCCGGATCTAATGAAATACAGCCATTGTACAAAATGCGTTAATGACTAAAAGACTGACCTTTGCATATATCTGCAATATTGCCATAAACAAAGGCAGATTTGTTACGCTCCAATTAGAAAAGTAATATTTATATGGGGACAATAAAGACATAATGAGTCTATTTTTACAGAAATATTTGTAGTTGATGGTGTTAAATTATAAAAACTATACCATTTACAATAAATGGAACGTACAGTTCAACTGTAGGTTTATGGAATCAACAGTATCATTTGTAAGCTTACGAAATATCTCAAACACATTTTTTTGCATGCGAGTCCAACTCTGTAGCACACAAAACCTTTCCAGGAGGTTCACAAGGCTGCTTAGTGTCACTCAGCGCGACAGCCCTTACGCTTGTTTACATTATACATTCCATTCCTTCTCTGGGTACTTGTTCCCAGGATAGACTTTGTTAAAGATACGGGCGTGGACGGCGATGCAGTTCAATTATTTCGTGGAGGAGATCGCTTGTCAGACCAAGTAGCGTGAACTTGATAACAGTGTTGATGTACTATTGGGTGTAGTGTTTTGGTTACCTGAAAGGTAACAATCGTTAAACTCGGCACGTCTGACCATACACCTAGCGACCAAAGAGTTAGAGTTAGTCTGTGTGACAACTCCGAGTTAGTCTGTGTGACGACTCGTAGTCAGTCTGTGTGACGACTTAATGATCAGTCTGTGTGACGATCCGGTGATTCAGTCGATGACGAATCCGTAGTAGTAGTTGGGGTATATTAATGTAATGGTAAATAGTAGATTTGTGCATGTGATGTCATGAGTCAGTTGAATAAGGGAGATACTCATTAGTCTTTTTTTTTCTAAAAATAGGCGATGGCCCCAATCCGATCATATCGCCCTTATCGCTTGCCAGAGGAGGATAACTCGTTGTCGTTTCGTCACCAAGTAAGTGGCCTAATATTACCCTGACATTGTTGTCCATATCGAATTGTTTACGTAATGCCCATGTAGTAAAAATGAAAGGGTACGGGGCGGTACTTCGGAATCTTCTAAGATGAGATGTTTTCACGTTTATCGTTATATTGCTATTCTCATATTACGGTTCGTATCCTACACATTTTTGTCTTCTTTTGTTAAGTCATTCATGTTGATTAATCGATTGGTATAAATTGTTCACCACAAGGAATCTGACATAACTTTACAAATGCATCGAGTAAGTCTATTGCGGTTTCGTTTTATGCAAAAATATAATAAATATAATAATACAAAAACTATACAAAATTTCCAAATACCGAAGTCACCTCTTTTTATGTTTTTTATAAACTTCCACAAATGGCTTTTTGTGAATACTTTTTTTATGCAAAACATCATTTCCAGGTTAAGAGGAATACAGTATATTCAGATAAGAGATAGACCGGATGTAAACAAAAGGTTCGGGTGATTTTCACGCTAAGGCCGCCGTCTCGACGTAAAACAGGAGCCCTCATTGGTCAATTCGCAATTAAATGCCTATGCCGAGCGGCAGAGCAGTCGTATCAAGGCAGAGTCACATTCAGGTTCAGACGTGTTACGTATGTCGTGTGCATCATTGCAATTTGATATTTCTTTGGACGTTTTCGTTTGTTATCTTATTAAGTTGTTGAGTTTGTCGTTGTTATTGTTATACCTTGTTATTGATTGTTATTGTTATCAACTGCTTGCGCAAAATGCCCAGTAGTACACATACTGCCGATGAAGTTGTAAACTCCTGTAGTCCACCTAGGAAACGCTCTAAAAAAAGACACCTGAGTGCAGAAATGAAAGAGGTCATTTTGAATATATATAAGATCGAGCGCGAGGAGAACGAGGCATCAACCATCAAAGAAATTGTTGTGAAGGTTTCTCATAAAGTTGGGGTGTGTGGCGCATCAGTGTTTAATGTGTTAAGACAATACAAAAAAAATCACACCTTTTCTGAGCCAATGACCAGTAAACATCGCAAAAGTATTGTTAAACCATTGGATGAAGCTGATAAGCACGCGATTAGGAGGAAAGTGCATGAATTCTTCTTTAGGAATGAAATACCTACTATAGATAAAGTACTGCAGGAGGTAAATGGAGATACAACATTGCCAAATTTCAAACGATCAACTTTCCATGCGTTACTGAAGCATTTAAATTTCAAATGGAAAAAACGGGGTCGTAATAGTTTACTACTGGATAGAGAAGAAATTGTGCTATGGAGGAGGGATTATTTAACAAAAATTGGGAAATATAGAAATCAAAACAGGAAGATTTATTACCTTGATGAAACGTGGGTGAACGCAGGACACACTACAAGTAAAGTATGGGTTGATGATTCTGTAAGTTCTTCATCCAGGAGGGCCTTTCTAGATGGACTGCCCACCGGATTAAAAAATCCAGCAGGTAAATACGAGTAATAGACAACAATCGGATGTTTTTCAAACCTTGGGAACAAGGTTCTAAACATTAATTCCAGGGGGCAGATAAAACATATTACAAGTAACAAAACTTTTATAACTTTCGATAAAATGCGTGGATGTTTTATTGTCATTTTCATTTGTTAGAACTTTTTTAAGCCATGTTTTTATGTGTTTTCGATATTTCAATAATGTTTTAATATAATCTTAAAATATGTCGAATATTATAAACTTAAAAAAAGTTACTAAGTTTTATATTGTGTACCGTTCCTAATATTTCTAATCATTTTAATTCATACTTTAAGCTTTATAAAGTTATAATTTGTTAATATTAATATTTGCGCGTATTTCAGGTTCCTGATCATTCATTTTTTAAAGGTTTATAACTTTAAATTAAATTGTGAAGCGCTGAGTAATCATACGACGTTCAATATTCTTTCTTTCAATATAACTAAATAATCCCAATTATAGCAATCTGATACTCATGTCTCAATGTTTTTTCGCTGAATGTGATGAAAACATTTGAAAAAGGTTCGCTTGAAATAAATCTACACCAGTTAGTACTTCGATTTCCAGGTAAAGGGAAACGGCTCATTATCTTCCATATTGGCAGTGAGGATGGATTTGTTGTTGACGGTCTGTGGTGCTTTGGGTCTAAGAAAACTGGAGCTTACCACGAGGAAATGAATGGCGAATCGTTTGAACAGTGGTTTTCAAAAATTTTACCGAACTTAGAGGAAAACGCAGTAATTGTGTTGGATAATGCGCCTTATCATTCTCGAAGAATGGAGAAGGTCCCAACAACGGCTTCAAGGAAAGTTGATGTTCAAAATTGGCTCCGCTCGAAAAATATCAACTTTAAAGAAGCAATGCTGAAAGTACAATTATTAAGAATTGTCAAGGATCACAAGGCGGAATATCAAAAATACGCCATTGACGAAATGGCAGCAAGTCAAAATAAAACTGTGCTCCGTTTACATCCATACCATTGCGAGCTCAATCCCATTGAGCTCATATGGGCAGAGGTTAAAAATTATATAGCTAAGCACAATACAACTTTTAAATTTTGTGACCTCAAAGGACTTTTCAAAGAAGCACTAGAATTAATAACAGCGCAAAAATGGGAAAACTGTATTAAGC